CTGTAGGCTCGAAGGAAGGTGAGGATTGAGTCACAGAAAATTCTTCTCATGTCTTGAAATCTTGTGGAATTTGCCCTGCTTGTTAGGTTTTAGACTTGCTTGGGAGCCATGACCCCCTTTTTTTTTTCCTCCAATGTCTCCCTTTTGGAATGGGAATGTCTATCTTATGCCAGTCCCACCATTGTATTTTGGAAGCAGATAACTTGTTTTCTAGGTTTCACAGGTCCACAGATAAACAGGAATTTTGCTCCAATGTGGACCATACCCAGAGTCTCACCCATATCTGATTTAGAAGATGAGAGATGGGAGTTTTTTGAGTTCCTTATATTTAGATGAGATTTTGGACTTAGAGTAGTTGCTGGAATGGGTTAAGACTTTTGGGGATGTTGGGATGGGGTGAATGTATTTTGAATGTGGGAAGGACATGAATTTTTGGGGGACAGAGGGCAGACTGCTATGGGTTAATTTCTGTCCCCAAGAAGATATGCTGAAGGCTTAACTCCTAGTACCTGTGAATGTGACTTTATTTGGAAATAGAGTCTTTGCAGATTTAATTACTTAACATAAGGTCATACTAGAGTAGGGTGGGCCCTACTCCAATATGACTGGTGTCCTCATAAAAAGAGGAGAAAAGACATAGACAGACATACAGAGACACAAAAGGAAGATGGCCGTGTAAAGACGAGGCAGAGATTGGAATTATGCTACCACAAGGAAAGCCTGGGGGAACTAGAAGCTAGAAGAGGCAAGGAAGGATCTTCCCCTAGAGCGTTCAGAGAGAGTGTGGCCCTGCTGACTCCCTGAATTTGGACTTCTAGCCTCCAGAACTGTGAGACAATAAATTTCTGTTATTTTAAACTGGTTTGTGGTACTTTGTTACAGCAGCCCTAGGAAACTAGGGATTATCCTGGTTTCTGGCACAATGAGTGATTTTCGATTGAAACCGGCACATTTTGGGTATTATAAGACTCTGGATCTTATTTAAATTTTCTGTTTTAGCAGGCTTCCTCTGATACCATGCTGATGGTGAAGGAAGTGCACTGCCAGGTGGGAGTGGAAGTCCTAACTCTCCACTAGGCTTACTCTGATACCACCTCAGCAGGGAGAGGGAGCAGTGTCTTGTTCCTGCAGGGTGGGGGTGGAAGTTCAGGTTCCCCAGTGCAATGGTGGTGGGTGGGGGAGTTTGAGGTACCTCGTTACAGCCTAGCAAGGGTGGATGTCTAGACTACTGGCAGGTGTGGGAGTCTAGGTTCCTCCCAGGAGCAGAAGTCCCAAAATTATTCTGACAACTGAAGTTTTTGTAATAACTGAAAGTCTGTCTGCACATGGCTCCCTATCTCCCCTCAACCCTAACCCTATACTTACTTCTGTCATCAATGTGTTCTGGCATCAGCTGGATACTCTTTATTACACTGGTAAGTATGGGAAGAGTCAGTAAATTTTTTTGAGCTTATTTTTCATCCTGACATAAAGGATAAGTATAGTTCTATTATAAGACTAGGTAAGTCATGATTCTGTTATATGACTTTAATTTTCTGTATAGGTTATGTGACACTAATATTATAAAGGAGCTATGTACTCCTAAATGCTTTAGGTTAAGTAGTTGTTTAGAAGGAAGTTAGATATATTTTCCTATAGTTGAATGAGTTTCTTCTCTGATATTAATTGATGATACTTACATAAGTATTAACATAACATTGCTACAAATTATGCACTAATTGGTCCATAATGTGACTCAACATACTAGATTTTATATAATTTAAAAATATTGATTTATCTATGCATAGATAACTTAGTAAATTCAAATTAAACTCTCCCCAGCTCCTAGTGTATTACATTAGAATTATGAAACAAGAATCAGTACTAAATGATATAAGGTTTTAGACCAAAGAATGGGGTTATATGCCCTATGTATAAAATAGGATTGTTTATGTCATGGAATTATAGGGAGGTAGGAGAGGGATAAGGAAGTAGGAAATTGTAGAGTGGTGATCAATAAATTTAGAACCCAGAATGTGAAAGCTGGAAAGGATTTTGGAAATTCCAACCTTCCTATTTTATTAAGTGCATAATATGTGTCTGGCACTTTACCTACCTTATGGCATTTAATATTAGCTGTAACGTGGCTATCTTTTGTCCTTCTCACTGTTTAGATAATCGAAGCTCAAATTAGACTGATTTGTTGAAGGTGACCCATTCTGCTATCAAGTGGTAGAGTTAGGATTCAATCTAGATCTGGATGATTCCACAGTCTGTGCTCTTTCTGCTACACTATTCTATCATCCCATGTGGGTTTTCTAGATTGACTTTTCATAATTATTATAAAATCATTAATTCCACGTCCCCATTTCTGTCTCCAGCAAAGGATCTAAACCTTGGCGGCATCATATCTATTCTACATACATTTGACAGATTATAAACTAGGCAAGATGCAATAAATTACATAGTGATGTAAGGACTTATGTTACTGTATGAAAATTATTCAATGTTTCATGATGGAGAATGGATACTTGCAATTACACTAGACACAGAGTGCTGGCTTAGAGGATAGGTTACTTTCCCAAGGCCACATACCCTGTTGATTCAAATCCAGGTCTGATGCCAACCCTCACCCCAACCTGATGCAATTCTGCTGCTTTATTACTTAGTAAGAGTCCCTGGGTGGCACAAACAGTTAACTTGCTTAGCTGCTAACTGAAAGGTTGGAAGTTTGAGCCCACCCACTGGTATTTCAACTACCAGCAGGGTCATCCATGGTTCAGCACAGCTTCCAGACTAAGACAGACTAGGAAGAAAGATCTGGCAATCTACTAAAAAATCTGCCATTGAAAACCCTATGGAGCACAGTTGTACTCTGACACACACAGGGTCAACATGAGTCAGGGTTGACTCAATGGCAACTGTTTATTACCAAGTAATCATTATGTGGCTGGAAGGTGTGTGTGTGGGGGGGGGGGGTGGTGAGGTGGGTAGCCTTACAATTCTTGGAAAGGGCCTGAATCAGGAACCTCCAACTCCAGGAAGATGGCCAAATATTGCAGTATTTGTATCTCTGCTGGTGCAAGTCTGAGTGTGAGTGTGTGTGCGGGAGATAGTGGTGTTAAAATCTTCCAGGCTCTGAGAGTCACTATTTGTGTCACAGTTAACATGTGGTAATTCAGCTGGAGAAAATACTCAGCCCCCAATACTCACTCATTCAAGTAAAATGGAATACCGTAAGGAACGAAGAGGTGTCTCAGAGCAAGTAATTAAACGTGAAATGTAATCTATATAAAACTACAGTTTTAGTCTAGTTACTAGTCTCAAGGGAACAATTTAAATGTGTGTCTGTGTACAAAGTCAGTTGGGATTTCCATACCTTCTCACTGAATACAGCTAGGATTTACTGAGTCAGCACTGAATTGTCTTCCTCGTATTTTGAAATTCAAGTTTATATACCTTGTCTACTGGTTACAGATGGAAACTTATTGAAAATATACAAAAGTCCACATTTATAAAGGAAATCTTGTCTTCAGATGTCAACAAATGTTTTCCTAGCCATAAAGACTGGAAGTGTTCCCCTTAACAGACCTGTTATGTGAGAAATACATAATTTGTCTTTCGAAAAGTGTGATTGACGGAAGGCTGCTTTTTCTCTCAAATATTCTACGGATTGAAAGTCAGACTAATGATTTTTATTTACACCAGACAGAAAGGTCAGAACAAGAAAGTGGTGTATCCTTTTTTTTTTTAAAAAGGGTTAATGCATGTTGTGAGGATAGAAAAGGCTTTTCTGAGTCGCAAGCAGTGATGAGGATCTTAATTATGCCTTCTCTCAGGCCTGTCCGCAAGTAGACTCCAATCTTCCTCGAAGACGCCCGAGTTCAGAGCAATAGAAACCAACATTCTGTAGTTTACGCTTAACAAATTTTCCTCATCGTTTTCTTTTACAATACTATACTGAACTACTGATAAAACGCAGGGTAAAGGCAGGTAGCAAGAAATTTTGGCCCCAAAGTGCCAACAGACTTTCGGCCGCAGGGAGCCGTGGTCAGCAAGCCAGACCCCGTGGGCAACTCTTCATTTCCTCCGCCCTGGGGTGTACGGGCATGGGGTCTGGGGACCTTTCCCCCTTCCCTTTCGGCGCGGGTGAGGGAAGAGAGGTCGCGGGCCCAGGCCTGGCCTAGGGCGGCGCCCGGGCTGCGGGGCGTGGGGCCAGCAGCCGCTCCTCGAGCGCGCTTCTCGTGGAGGCCATTATTTCCAGTGGTGCCAAAAGTCTGCGCCTTCTGAGGGCGGAGGTTTGGAGCCGTGCGCCGCCTCCTGGCCACGCTACCCTTACCAGGGCTGGTGGGGTTCGAGACCCGAGACGCCCAGAGCGCGGGACGGCCGGAGCGCGGTCTGAGCCAACCCCCTCCCCCCGCTCCGTGATCTCCTCGGCAAGCAAAGGTTGTCCATGGCGTCCTCGCCCAGCGTCGGCACTCGCACCGGGCGGTGCCGGACCTCGCCCTTCCCCACTACTCCCCTCCCCCTCCTGAGCCCGCCGCGGCTCCCGAGGTGACACGGCCCGGACCTTCCATTCTCTGCCCGAGTGTATTTAACTAGTACAACCTAACCTACTGCTTCCTTCCAGTGACAACCCTTCTCTCGACAGACGCGACAACCAACCAACCACTGGCCAGAGTTGGCGCTCGTCCCGCTCCCCCGTCGGTGGCGGCCTCGGTGGGCAGGGCCCAGGCTGCTAGCAAGTTGAGTGGAGCCACGGCTGACGTGAGTCAACAAAAATCACGTGAGGCGAGTCGGTCACGCCGATTGGCGGCGCCGACCGGGCGGGTGGGGGGGGGGTCACGGCGGCGGCGTGGGGTTCGCTCAGTGACACAATTACAACAACTTTGTGCTGGTGCCGGGGAAGTTTGTGTCTCCGACGGATCCTCCTCGTGCCCCCCAGCCCCACGCGCTCCGGCCATTCCCGCCGTCCCCGCCCGTGGCTGCCCCCCGTCCGCCCCCGCGATGTGACCCTACAGCCGAGCCGCCGCTGCTGTCGACCCGGGGGCTCCGCAGCCCCTGCCGCCGCCGCCTTTGCCGCCGCCGCGTTGGGGTTTTTCGTCGCCGCAGCCCGCGGCGGAGGAGAAGGCGGCGATAAAGTTGGTGTGCCGGTCCCGCGTGGAGATTTGGGGCGCCGTTGCGGGCCCTGGCCTGGGGGAGTGTCGGCGTTGGAGTTGTGAATTCGCTGCGTTTCCATGAAATCCTGCGGAGTGTCGCTCGCTACTGCCGCCGCCGCTGCCGCCGCTTTCGGTGATGAGGAAAAGAAAATGGCGGCGGGAAAAGCGAGCGGCGAGAGCGAGGAGGCGTCCCCCAGCCTGACAGCCGAGGAGAGGGAGGCGCTCGGCGGGCTGGACAGGTACGAGCCGCCGTCACCCGCCCGGCCGGCTCCGGACGGGCTGGCGCCGCTCTTCCGGGAGGCCCGAGC